TGTAATTATCTTGAAATCTTTACGCAGTGTATATATTAAATAAATCAGTACGTACTTTACAGTTCGCACAATGGTTAAGCCACTGCAGTATGTAGGAATTTTTAAATGTATAAGATATGTAGGGTAATTTAACTGATATACTGAAAGCATCGATAGACCATTGCAATAAAAAAAAAAAATGATTCTGAACCGAGCAGTATTTAGTAGTGTTAATCGTATTCGTTTTCCTTGTAGTCAATGTGATCGATGAAAATAAAACCAATATTTGTTATCAGTTGTATAGAAAATCGTTGAGAATCTAGACATTTTTTTTCAAGTAATAATTACCACGACCATTATATGATAAATTATGTATTATTACAGAGTATTTATATTTACCGAAAAAATATATTCCAAAACAAAAACGAAATCTAAGTACCTGTTAAAGAACTGTTGACAATTTCAAAAAGTGAAAAATTTAAGTACCTATACCGATGGTTACAAATATCACATCTCTTAAGATACGACACAAACCGTAATAAAACCAATACATTAAAAAAAAAAAAAAAAAAAAAAGGAATATTGGTTAATTTCTCAAAATTTATATTTTATAATTGAAGCTATTTTTTTCTTAGTAGCTCTTACCTCTTGCCGACCCCTTGGTCTTTTAAATCTTTCTTGAGTAGGTTTACCTACCTAATGTTTGGCCTTAGAAGTGGTCTTTTCACTGTTGGATTACTTTCCAGCACACGCATGCCTCATATAGTACATTAAAAGAAAAAAAAAACAGATGGATGTTAATTGCTATATATCTATACGAGATCATAAACCGGAATATTTTTTTTATTATTCAAAAACAAAAATTATCGCTGCAGTGATTTTAATATTATGCTGTGTAATTTATTTTTTAAACGGTGTGATAGCTATCGATTTCAAAACATCGTATGAAGATATCAGAAAAAAAAAATAGTCATTCCAAAAGACCATTTCTGTTCAATTAAATACAATAGGTATACTATTTTTAAATGATCTGATCCAAACTGCGATAATAACCGCAAACCATTCAAAAACTCACAACATATTTAATTCTAATATTATTTAAGCTATTTTCTTATTTCCATTCGTTTTAGAAACAATTGAGATATAATTATATGGTATTCGAGGATTTTGATGATTATGAATACTATTCAGAGGGGCGTTCAAGATTAAAGTCAAACGCCTGTTCATTTATTTTTGTGTGTTCGTTTTTACAGATTGTTGCGATCTTATCAAATGATTGAACTGACAAATTAAAAAAAAAAAAAAAACATTCATCAGTTTATACACATTTTAATGTTAAATTAATTGATTTTTTTTTATAATTATTTAGATCTGAAAGGAAATTAATACAATTTAGAGTCTGGTATTAATTGTTAGTTTAAATTAACTCAATTGAAGTTAATAATTATTGTACAACATCATTTATTATTTCCGCGTGTGTGCCATTGTTGCAGTATTGCCATAGATATTATAGTGCATCATCACACGTAAAAATAAATTATGATAGTTATCAATGAACCCCAAAACTTAAAAATAATTTACCAGACACCAAGACAATAATATTGTAAACAATCGAATGACTGCAACGAATGTGCTTGTCGTCTTCGAACGTTTTGCATGTACATTAAGTTGTTTAATTATATAGTTTAGAGGCGTACATACTAAAACTGGTATAGTAGGCAGGTACTCCAGCTCAATATCGTCATTTTTATCGAGGTTTTTTATTGTTGAAGGTTATTACTTGTTATTGGTACTAATAATAAGCAGTGTTAAAAAGTTATATTAGTATTGCGTTATATGATTATATTTGAATTTTAATAAATTATTTTGGCGATCGGGTCTTAGGGCAATGAAACTGCGAACAACGTCGGGAGAAATAAATAATGTTTTTATTTAGACAAAAAATAAAAATACAAGATATTTTGTAATTATTTAAATAATACTTAGAGATAATTAATATAATAAATATATATTAAGAATGCATATGTGATTCAGCAGGATTAACGCATTTACGAGTAGTTAAATACATATTCAAATAGTATTACTAGTAAAAAAGAGCTAATACTGGGGATGAGAGCGGCTGCTGTTGTAGGTAAGAAGTTAGGAACGTAGGATACACAAGGATGTTTCATTTATATCTGTAAGCAACAATAAACCATTGCTGACGAAAGACGATTCCGTGTACAATTCAGTTGATAGTGTTGTTTTGTCAAGAATATTTATGTCATATAATAGTAAAAAGATAACAGCAATGTGCGTTTCCATAACAAAAATTATTATTTAAAAATGATTAAAATAATAAAAACTTAATAGTAACAAAAAATAAATAAAAACGGTTGTCAATAACAACCTTATTTTTAATCTTTCAATTTTTTTTAACCTAAAGGCCGAGATTTTCCTCAATATATCGAATATATTAATAAGAATTTTTAAAAATGGCCTCTTTTAAGTACCACACAGAGAACATTTTCTCTCAGAAAAGGTACTATACTTGATGATCAGAAATTGAAAATCGTATTTTACGTAATGGTTAGAGATTGTCGGTGTTTATCAAAAAATATTTCGTACATAATAACGTTAAGCTATTATTAATCGTTACGTGATAGTAAAAAAAAACAAAAAAAAAAACAACTTAATCAGTAAATCAAAGCAGTCCAATTGAAAGTTTACTAAGTGGTCGAGCAGTGTCAACAATTTCGGGGACCACTGAATACTAGACAATCCCAATGTTGGTCAGCGCGTGTGGAAATACGTATGCCTTTCAATGATATTATTTTGTTAAATTGTACTACGTTTTAGATTAAGTATCTATAAGAAATATTATATTTTATAAAATGTGGGTTTACGGCTTAGCGAGTTGACTGCGAGTTGCCCGGGTAAAAAAATGCGTTCGGACAAAAAAAAAAAAAAACCGCCCGCCGAACCCAACGATATAGGAAAGTAAATATTGGTCGATATTCGTCCGGACTTTTGAATTTGTCATGAAACTCTATACAATAAAGGGTCGGAAATAATGTCAATACTGTGAGTAATTCCTTGTAAAGCTAAAATCGCGACACAAGTAATTCCATTACAATAGTGTTATTTATCGTAGGTATGACTGATAAGACTTAATGACCGTGTAGAAACCAAACAGAGGATATTATATTAACCCGTATTTACTTGACTGCGTACATGGAATTGTTTGAAGAGTTTGTGACGTGAGAGTATAATAATAATTACTGCGGGAAATCGAATTCGATGATTACTCGTCGATTAGATTTTAGGATGTCGAATTTGCCTTCAATTCAACTTCGTTCGAAGCGAGTAAAAAATTATTTTTATTTTATATATTTGTTCTGCCTGTAGACGAATTTTCGGCTAGAAAATGTTTCAATCGAACACTTTATCGGAACTTTAAGGTACAGCATTTTTATTGAATTGACGCATTGTAGAGGTCTTTTTTTTTTTTAGTATTCCTGATATCTGGGGAGAAAGTAGGACAACTGGAAATATTTACGCAATATTATTTTATTAATCACGTTGAGTGAAAAGTTTTGAAGTCGTCGCCCACACGTTTAAAATATCGAAAAACAAATGTGAACTTTGAGAACCGCCCTTATGTTAACACGGTAGTAATGTGTGTGAAGACACAGTATAAACATTGCAGATTTGATTATAATATTCGGTAGTACACGCAATCACACATTTATCCGTGTATTACGGTATATACGAGCGCCAAAATGAGACGTCGACATAATATTATGACGAAATTCACGCCAATATTCCGTTGCGGCGACGACACGGAAATATTATTAATATCTGTAATATTCATGATGCAATTTCTATACTTCTACATGTTTTATTTATAATATGTAAAACAAATAATATGATATTGTCGAGATATGCAGCAAACACGCGGACAGTTATTAATGGCTTTATTCCAGTAGTGTTCGAATCGATACACGTGTTCTCTTAACGTATTAAATAATAACAGTAATAATAATAATAATCGTAGTATGTTGCGCGTGTCGTATATTGCTCGTACCGGACTCGCGATTTAGTCTCGACACGCGGACGAAAAAACCGGTCAAAATAACTTGTTGGAAACATATTAAATAATAGACATACCTACTGTGCATTGTGAGACGATTATCAGGACCGTCGGTGCACTTGAAAATGAGGATTATACTATTGTAATGATATGCTATTTAAGCTATCATACATTATGTAAAANACTAGGCACTCCCCGCCTTATTTTTGAATTACTACACTATTTAGGTCTTCTTCATTTTAGAAGGTATGATGATGGGAGCGTGGATATTGCGTAGAGTAATTTAGTTTATAACTGTACACAACGATCGACAGCTGTCAATGAAAAACGATTTTTAAGCAGAGTATTAGTCGTATTGTTTTCCTTGTTCCCAAAACGACCGAATTATTAACCAATAAAAATTATACAAAAGTCGACAAGTTTTCCCTCCGTGTTTGTTATACATAATTATCCCTACTCGTGTATTCATATACGATTGACGTGTATCTATCTACATCACTGACCTCCCAAATGCACCAACTGTTCAAAAATAATATAGTAAAAGAAGATATTGTTCCTATACAATTTTCGAGTAGAGGAAAATTGTTGGTATAAAAGTTGCTTACAAACACCCAAAAAAATAATAATAATAGCGGTAAAAAAACATACTATAGTAAAACGTATAGATTCCTTGTTTTGCTCAGAACTTAAACGTAGGTACCGAAATATAATTACTTAGAGAATTAAAAAAAAAAAATTGAATACCAACAATATATTACGAATTAAGATAATGGATATTTATTAAGGTTTATACACAAGAGCCTACTATTATATTACCAGGTTCTACTTGGTATGCTAAATTCGTTTAAAATTGTAAATTTTGTGATATTATTAATGTTTCTTGTTTAAAATACGTTTAGAATCCGAGAACTTTCCACGGTCGCCGAAGTGCGCTTTCTTAACTGGTTAACTTAATTTTAATCTCGTACAAATCTGTATAATTATGTATACACTGTATTAATAATTTATTGCAACATTTTTGTTACAGAAAAAAAAAAAAAATATTAAAAATAACTGTCGTCGTACGGTCACGTACAGATTAAGATCTCCTCTTTGGATTCGATAACGGACATCTCTCCAGTCTAATTTTAACACGAAACACAACGCGCAAAGACGGAACGATATATTTTTTCCTCTATTTTATCTACGCGACTACAAGAGATGTAATAATAATATTATACTTTGTTGTGATGGAAACAGTAAAACATCGGCGCAGATTTTTTTTATACAAATGAATACCTAGTAAAAATATAAATGCACATAATCATAATATAATGTACGTGTCCGTACGGGCACGGCCTACAAAATAGAATCGATAAAATGCTAATAATAAAGCTGTCGTAGGATAATGGGGACAAGTGCAGCAACTGTTGTAGTTGGGAAGTTGGGAGGTAGGATACGGAAGGGAATTTATGTTAATGTATATCTGTAATATTTTTTACCAATATATCTATACTTCGTGCATTTTCCCGTTTTTTCTCCGTTTCCTTTTGGTTTTTCACATTCGATGGAAAACTCCTGAGACAATCGAAAAATGGCCTCCTTAAAGTACCACCTCAAAAAAAATTTCTTTTAGAAAAGGATTTACATCGTATACATTGGAGTAAGCTTTTTGTTAGAAAATTTGTTCACATAAGAAACAAAAATAAACATCTTTGTAAAACCAATACGTTCTTCGCTACACTCAGAATCTTAAACTATCAGAGTTATTTCGCATACCAATATCTTCTCCGTCGATAGTTTGTGCACAAATATTTTCAGTTTAGTTAATTAAATACCAATTTTTTTTATCGGTGTTTTTAAGCGTTTCGTTTATAATTTTATCGGTCGTATTTTGCGTTGCATATAAGCTTCTTGTTTTAGACACCCTGTATCTCGGACTCCTCTCCTCGTCCGTGCAGCCGATACCGATAAATGAGATCATCTACGAGACTTAAATCGCATTATTTTCGATTGACCCGTGTATAGCCGTTAGTATTCCGTCCTCGACAACACGTTATGCCCCTGTTTTATATCGTTTTGTGCCCGTAAGTCTAATATTATTAAATAGGTAAATTATTGTATATAATGACTATTGGTATTCGCTACCTGTGGCGTTATTTGAATCTAGATAATTTATCTTTTATTATATAGATAAAACGAAAATATCTTATCTTCGTGTGTACATTCATAATTATTTTCAGAAAATGCGTAAATAATTATATTATATTATATCACAATTCCTCAATAATTTTTGTGGTATGTATTTCAATTACGCTGTAATCTCTGCAATTTACAAAAATTTCGTAACAGTAATAATATTTTGTACGAATTGATTTTTCTTATTCAATACGGTAGACATATTTACTATTATTATACCTATACCTATAAATTATAATAATATTTAACTATATGATTTCACTCTGAATTATCTCAATATTATAATTACCGTTTTGCGTTATCTAGACAACTAGATAAACATAATGGTTCCATAATCTTCCTAAAAATTGCTGGCTACCATAAAAGAAATAATAAAAATCAAATAAATCATTTATTTCAAATGTTAATTTTCGTCCAGATTAAATTAATAACGTTACAAACTTAATTTTGTTTATACTGTAATAAATTAAATTAAATTGATCACATGCCTTCGCTAGCATTGGATTTTGGACTTTTTACTATACTACTATTGTTTGATAATGGAATACTTATACAGTGTTATTTGAAACCAAAACAGAAACTGAGAAGTGTTAACCTCGACATTCCAAAATTTGTTCGTAACACTACCTGTTCGTTTTGAATGACTACGCAACGCGTACATTATGTACATTATTTGATTTTATTTCAATAAGTTAAAAAAAAAAAATCAATTTTTTTGGAGATTATGAGTTAAATTGCATAAACAGGAGATATTTTTTGGAACTCATTAACATTTGTTTAAAAAACTTTATTGTCGGTTAGCACGACACAAACACTAGATAGAAAAATAATGCGATTGCAATCGAACATAGCATAAACAAAAAAAAAATAAAAAAAAATAATTATTCGATTATACCAAAATAATGTATAATATAGTCGTTGGAGGTATTTGACATAAAAATATTGGGCGGCGAATTAATTGACGATCGAAAAGCGCTAGCTTCAGATTAGTCGGGCGAGTTTTGCGCGCGGCTTATACGGTGTAAGATGTAATGCAGATGTAATAAAATGATAAATTCTCGAAAAATACGATCACGCGACTGGTATATTAGGTACCTATAGTAATATTATCACAATATAAAGTAGACACTCGCGTGTTTCTTTGTGCATACGAATAGGCATTTTCGAATCGCGAAAAGATTAGGAGCGAACGATTACGTGACATGCGCACGCGAAAAAAAAATCGTCATCGGTCTAAAACTAAAGTGCAATAAAATTATCGTGCAACGAAAACGCGGTATACTTAAAGCGGATTACGATTAAAATATTATTTTTCGTTTATTTTTTTGTTTCTCGGTACCTGTGTGTTCTGCCGCGTCGTACCGAACAGACGACAATTACGATGGCCCTTGTTTTGGTAGTTTTAGTTAGAGGCGTTATCATGGGGAGGAAAGGTCTGGATGTAAAAAAACCCCCTCCTTCGATAAATTTTTTTTTTTATATTTTATATAATACGTACAATACGGTTGTTAAATATGAATACGTGATTTAATTTTTTTTCGATTAAATTTGAACCGAAACGATGACGGAAATCATATTAATTGGCAGGTGTCTAGTAAATTTTAAAAACTTAACTATGAGCGTTAATACCCCGTTAAAAATTACTCGCGGGAATACAATGTCGGAGGTTTATTTATAATTGAACATTTTGATACTTTACGAACATTAAACGTACTTAATTGTACTAAATATTTTTTTCATTAGAAACAATTAAATGGATTGGACCATTGTCGAACTGGCCCGATCCGCAAGTCGACGAACGCGGACTGGGCCAATGCACAATCTGCACAAACACAGCTAAATAAGTATGTGTGAACAGAATGTACACACGAATATTACTTGATTTTTGAAGCCAACCTTAGTGACACTATTCTAAGACTATATTACAGTTGACTATTGGGTTTTGTTTTGTTTTTTTATATAAATTAATTAAGTAATAAATGACGACATTACTTCCTTTTGGTCGTCTCTAGGGTTGTCGGGTATATTTTATCAGTAGAGATTCTTTATTAATGGATCGTGTTGGGATTGTGATACGCAGATGACATAAGAGAATTTCATTTAATAATTTGTATTAATAATAATGAAATAGTTCTCTGTAGCCAAGACGAATAGATCTATGTAACTATAATTTGTATAATTTATTTGTTACTAAAGTTTACAATTCTATCTACGAATTATATATATATATATATACATTGTTTTGTTTAAATTTAATAAACTATTATACCTGTGACGACTTTTTTTTTTCAAATCTTGCCCACTCTCCTAAAAATAAGTTTCAACTGGTATTCAGTCATTTCGATTAAATGTGTAAGTAAGTGAGTAAATAATTACTAATAAAGTACAAGTATAAATAAGTATATGGCCTATCGCAAAGTTTACCGAGATTACCGCACACCATGGGGTATTACTAACAAATGATTATTTTGTTTCGGCCAACCCGTAAAATCTACGGATTTGGACCGAAACAAAGGATACAAATAAATATCTATAAAAACGGTAAGGTCAATTATTATGGCTATTTACACGGTCAAGACTAATCGAGATTTTCGTCTATAGTAATGTGAACAACGGCTTTATAGAGCACAGACAACGAACGCATTTAAAAATCGAATTATTAACCAGCTGAATTCGATTTCTCTTCGTTGTTATCTTTGCAATTTCTCTGTGAATACCCAATAAAAACAATAATATCTGAATCTGTATTTTGATCATGGTACTTATATAAAAATATTTTTGTAAATTCCAAAATTTTTTTTTAAACAATTAAAAAAACTTACAACAAATGACGATAAAATATTGGATTAATACCATAAACTTACTAGTTTATCGAGTACAATCGTTGTTTGATTGCAATGATGTATTATTGCTTTTAGTCTATCAACTAAATTGTCCAATATCCTAAATATATGCATAATATATAGATTCCAAACATTGCTCTCGTGATAAACTAACTACAAATTAGCAAATTAACCTAATCCGTGAAACAAAGTATTTCTGATTTTAGATTTTGAATGGAGCGAAGGAGCTTATAGTTTTACAAAGATGTTTTTTTTTTTTTTTTAAATATGGCCAAATTTTTCTACCAGAAGACTTGCTCGGATTTCTATGTGAAGCATCTTTTCTGAAAGAAAATCGGTGTATACTCGGAGGTACTTTAAAAGACAATTTTGCAATTTTCTCGAGAGCTTACTCATCAAATTTAAAAAACTGAAAAAAAAATAAAAAATATAAAAAAATGTAGATATTGGATAAAATATATTACGGCGTTCTTTTTATGCACAATTTTTCTACCAGCATTTTTGCTCAAAATTTTAATGATAACAATGTTTTACAAAAGAAATTTCATTAGTGAGATACTTTTTAGAAGTAATTTTTTGATTTTCTCTGGAGTTTTCTCAGCAAATGAGAAAAACCGGAAAAAAACATGGGAAAACAAGTAAAACATAGGAAAACTGGAAAAATCGATACAACATTAAACAAATATTATTTAAGAAAATATATAGGGCCTATTTAATTATTTTAGTGTAAAATGACATATATATTGTTGACAAAGCACCACTTTTAACTATACTCCGCTCAGAATCGTTTTTTCGTAAGCAATGGTTTATCGTTGCTTACAGGTATACAGGTATACATAAAATTATCTATAATAGAGGCTGCAGCCCGTCTTCATTATCCTAGGGCGTCTTTTTTATTTGAGAGGCATTATCTAGAATGGTCTCATATGGAACGGCAGTATTAGGAATGCAAAATTTGTAATATAGACGTACACGGTGAAATCAAGGTTGATTTTAACTGTTAAAGTTGAATAGATAATGTCTGCAAGAACGTCAAAAATTCAAATGACAATATCTAAAACGAAAAGTTGTGCGGGTTATGCTTTTTTTTTCCGTTTCTGATCGTCCCAGGTTTTGTCTATTTAATTTTTAAAATTTTTAATTTTTCCAGATAATACAGTTTACGTTTATGTTCCAGGTTTTATTGTTCCTCATGATTTTGTTCCAGATAATGCTATTTTCCGTTTTAGGTAATGTTGGAAACGTCACGTACATTAACTTTCCATGTATCTAACACATCAAACATTTCATACATCATAATAGTATAATAAATAATAATTGAGGCGCCTAGAACACAAGGGGAAAAGGTGACATAGAATTCGAGAAAATCAAGTTTAACGTTATTTGTATTTAATACAATTATTATAGTATATTGTCATATTATCACTGTTCTTGTGTTGACGTGTGAAAACTTGGCAGTTAAGATTTATAAGTTTGTTTATATCTGTTGTGGTTTCTTGTAGCTATTTACTTCAAATATATTATGACATTCTCAATTGAAGACTATTTTAGTGAGATATAGTATTTGTTACTAGATCGCAGAGCATGGCGAATAATTTTCTTATATTTCTTTGCCACACAACATATTTTTAGTTTAGCTTTGCTTTTAACTCAGATTTTTTATAAATGTCACTTATACCCATTGTATTCTAGGCGTCTCAATTACAATTTTCCAATGTTTTATCCCGCTATTGTCGTATAAAATAATTTCCAATTTATCCAACTCCTAAACATTAGAAAAAAAAAAATTAATAACACGTATTTGTGGGTCTAAATTTAAAAGTATTAAAAAATTAGATTTCAAATTGGTATTGTGAGAGCTCAAAATAAAATTTAATATAGAAAACGATCCGTTGGTTTTGATTTGCCAGTATACAATTTCAATTAATATGTGAAACCATTCAGAATCATATTTTTTACATTTTTTTTTTTAAGATTATTTATCTAAACATATAACTTAAAAGTTAAAATTTACAACGTATATTATTTTGTATTATCTTAAACGCATTTACTATTATATGACTTATACATGCGTTCAAATTTGTAATTGCATTTTTGCGTATAATGTGCATATGCGATAAGATAACATGCTCGGTTTTAGACGATTAGTCATTGAACACGAAATTTATACTAGAAATCAAAAAAATTATAGAAAAATATTTCTTGTTTTTAAAATTAATTTATTTTTTTACTCGTATAGCAGGGTCTTCAATATTTAGTTGGAGAATGTAAAGCTGGGGCCCCACGTTCCGTGTCCGGTACTCCTGAAAAAGACTGTAATCTGGTGACTTCGGTTTATGAGAGAGGGAAGGGTTCCATTGTTTGCTATGAGATGGAAATATCGCAGGTACGAATGCCATAAATTGATAGAGCTTTAGTCGTCTGAGACGTTGTCCGGGGTGCATTACGAGGTGGAAACGTTCTATCTGAGGACACTTTTAATTTTATTAAGAAAACTACGAGGAAAATAAATAAATGACTAATGCACCAATCAAATGAAAAATTCATCAAGAAGGAATATTTCGAATGCTTAGAAGTAGACAAGTTGTTCATAGATCCAACAATAAAAAATAACCATCGTAAGAAAACCAATACATTCCTTACCTCGCTCAGAATCTAAAAGGAATTTTATTTCACGGTAACGCCCGTTATAGCTACCTTTAGTTGAAGTTTCTTGACTCATATTATCACCTGATGACCGATATGCATTTAATGGATTTGACGAGTCGGTCACGAGTCACGAGTGGGTCGTTATATTACGTGGTCCACTGTCAATGTTTTCTATACGTTTTTCGGTAATCACTGTTGTGGTCTAGACCTCTGCGCTCAGGTCACGTATGTGGTAGGTGATAGGTATCGATCATAAATCGTGAAATAGTTGAGCACATAGATAGTAATTATTTCTATATGACACCACGGCTGCAGATTTGGCATACATATAACGCGAGTCCATAGTAAGTTCAAAATTCCGTTACCCACGAGCTAGGTAGATTATTAATAAACACAAGTATAGTGTTAAAATCATATAATTTTCCATTTACCAAATAAATAATCGGAGGTCGTTTAAATTTTTTGATTTGATTTAATATCGCAATATTTAATGCAGCTAAATTAAAGGTTATACTATTAAGATTTATGATTTAAAATTTTTTAGTAATTAATACGTTTTCTTGTGTGTATTTGTGTGGTTTCAAGTCCTGTAAGTTCAGTTATCAATGTAATCATTCTTGTGATACACGAGTACAATCAATACATATTTGTATATTTCTAATTAATATAACTATATTTCATTTTTTGTTTTTAAAGGTAAAGTTAACATACTTTAAAAACCGACTCTCCAATAATATTTTTTTTCAATCTATCCCTATTTTATCTTCATTGTAATCCAGTTTTTCCCATTTGTGCATTAAATATACTATACAATCTCGTCACTTTTTAGACGAGGTATCTCCAGTAGTCGTTTTCATTCTGGATTCTTCTTAATCACCGTTTTTATTAAATTGATATTGTTTCCACCACACATCAACACCACCTGTTTAAGAGTCCTCTAGTATATTCTTGAATTCGCGGTTGTGTATTTTCCTCTATTTACCAGTCCAAAGATTTCCTCTAAAAAATAATAGCCAATTTATAAAAACATGTAAAAGTAACTTGTAACTTGTACATTTTTGATGAGTGACTAGTAACGTAACGAGCCACTTTTTTTTTTTTTAAATTTAGGAACTTGCAACTTAACTATGTTACTTACTTAAGGTAAATAACTGTAACCTTTTTGGTTACTGGAGTCGAGTGACTCGTCCAGCTTTGCTTTCTACACGCGACAGTTTCTCACCGCACGCATTGTCCTCGCCCGTGTATAATTATCGAACGTTTTCCGTTCGATACAATTCAATAGGTAACCCGTTGATGTTTACGCGAAAATCGCGTTTTCACGTCAAACGTACTCGAAAAAATATTACGCGGACGCGCGATAAACTACTGCCATTCGGATATTACCCATGCGTTTACACGGTGGGGTGCCGTTGTTATTTATTATGGGGTGACGGCGGCGGCGACATTATAACGACGTTGCGGCGCGCGCGGGCGGCGAACGCGTCTGTGAAAACAATACGTGCCGTACGCCAGACCACGGATACGGGCGTGTAGCGCGCGGTTTTTCTCCGGCTCTAATGGATTTCTCATTTGTCGAGAGATTTATATCGGGTAAACATTACGTAAAAAAAAAAAAAAAAACACGCCCAGAGAACGAGTTTGGCCCGCCGACAACAACATTG